ATCTTAAGGACGTTGCATACTTTATATCAATTTAGTACATTTAAAAAAATTAATTTCTTAGGTATTAACCCCAAGATTTTTTTTTTTTTTTTATGATTGGGATATTTTCGAGTTAACTTTTGTGTCTTTTGAGATTAATTTCTCTTTAAGTGATTTTAAGGGCGTTGCACGCTTTATATCAATTTAGTACATTTAAAAAAATTAATTTCTTAGGTATTAACCCCAAGATTTGAATATTGAATTTAACCTATAAGACCACAGTTACTTACTAATGGATTCAACTCTTGGACTTCCATTTCCCTCACTTTATTAGCCAAAATGGTATTGGGTTTTGAGGGATTAAAGTTGTAGGCCTAAAAAGTTCTAGCTAGAGGTGAGCATGGACAGGCACAGGTCAAGCATTTACTCATACTCATACTTGATTTGAATAGTAACAAGTATAAGATTTCAATATCTAGTATTTATTTGAGTATTGAAAATTTATACCCGTTACTTAATTTGCTGGATATAAGTATACTTACGGGTATACTTGTATACTTATTAAATTTTACATTGAAAATATATAAGTTAATATACAACTACAAGTTCATACATAAAACACAAGTTTATATATAAAACAAAATACGTGAGTATATACATTTATGCATACACAAGTTTATATATACAATAACAAAAGAAATACAAACAAAACTTCACATAAATTTCTTTCAATTGAATCTTCACTATAGAAAAAAGAAAAGAAAAAAAAGCATAGACATTTTAATTCTATAATATTATATTATAAATTAAGCATATAAAACTAGACTATATGTTAAGTATATGAGTCAGATATAAAAATCAGTTATATGAGTTAGCTATACAAGTCATGTATATAGATACTAACCTTCATATCCAATACTTACCCAATACTTAGTAGGTATGCATTTTTCATACTTGATATTTAATTGTTTATTCACAAATACAAGTAAAATATCTACTTAAACAAATCAAATACCTACAAATATAAGATATACCCCATAAATATCATAGATATCCGTACATGATGCACAACCCTAGTTCTAGCTCAAAGCAACATTGGATATGGAATTATGGAACGGTATTTTGGGCTTTAGCCCATTTGAATCCGGTTTGTGTGACTTCTAGCGTCGTTTTTTTTTTTTTTTTCTCTCTGAGCGAAGACATGTTCATGTCCTGAGCGAACTCGGCACAAGCGCGAACTGAGGAGAATGCGTCCTGCAATGGAAACCTGCAATTCTTCCATTCTCCAGATGCTTTTCCTTAGAATTCGGCTCAGTAGTATAATTATAATTCTCGTTTTCTTGGGGCGTTTGGTTCTCGTTTGGTTCCTACTTCCTACAACGACTAGTTGCGTAATTTCAACAAACATTAGCATTCATCCAAAAGGAAAGAAAAAAATGGCCTCTTTGCTTCTTTGGCAGCGGAAAGCTTCAGCCTTTGGGGTTTCTCGCATCCTTCAAGGTTAGACCCTGAAATCATTTTCTTTGAGAGCAAAATTCAAAATTCGCAGACTGTATTTATTGCTCCTTGTTTTCTTTCTTTCTCATTTTTTTGTGGGTTTATTTTCTTGTAACTATCTGTTCCAATTCTCTAGGAATTCCAATTTTTAAAGTCCTTCCTTTTGTTATTTTGAGAAAATAGGTGTAATTTGTTTGCCTATCAAATTTGCAATGTATTTAGTAGGAGAAGCTGAAACTTGGAAAGCAAGACAGACCTGTAATACCCATCTCGTAATTTATACTTAAAGTTGGATTCTTGGGAGCTTGTAGTTCTTTTGCAATACTAATCTGGCTACTAGAGTTAAGTAAGTCAATTAGGTATTATAAGATAATAGTAGAGAGGCTAACGAGTTTAGATTCATTTTCATTATTATTGGTATTGGGTCTTTGTTGCTTTTATTTGGGCTTTTCAGTGCTTGTGTTGTGACATTGTGATGTC